ATGAACATTGGCAGAAAAAAAGCTTCCAAACTATCTCCAGTGTTTTCTTGGTAAGACAACTTGTTTAATTATGTGAAGTTTTAAAAATTAAACTGTCCAATGAAAGAAATCTAAAAGAACAACCTCACTACTCCCACCTTCACATACATTCTGTTTAAATATTAAGATTTTGTCCAACTCAGTCTACAAATCCCTATCAAATAAAGACATTTAATAAAATATTTTTTCTTAAAGAAAGTACTTCAAAGAACCATTTCAACAAGACTAACTGATGATATACCTGCATAAGATGTGCCCACGTGGTTTTAACGTTTGTTCACTCTGTATCAATTTCCGAATGCAAATTTTTGTCCTGACTACTCTGCTACATCCTTCGTTCTCATCTCCAAGTCAAGAATTTCAAGTTAACCCTCTTTCAAACCAAAATTCACGAGCCCTGGGTTTTCAACAAATAATCCTAAAACAAATGTAATTCAAGGAACTATAACATAAAGTTGAGAAAGGCTAATGAGATGAGGCACATGCCCATGGATCCAGCACTAAGACTACACATCTGGCTCTGAGACTGTCTGTCTAAGGTTGCTTCACCAGCCTGTTGTTAATTATTTAAGTGTGGGAACAGGGGGAACCATCACCACATCTGTCACCCTCACACAGGAAAAACCTTCATTCATTGCTGGGCCAGATGTGTTCATTTGAAATATAGACTAACTAGCTACTTAATGGGTTTGCAACCTTAGCCAGCAGATAATTAAGCAAGCGTATTAAGCATCCGTCACCTTACAAAACCAAAGTGTTTCAGCTGTGTTGATTTTAATCCAATCTCAGAAGAGAGCTACAAAAGCATCTGAAGAACAGTCCAGGCAAAGGAAAGCTCCAAATTACTTGCAACATACTTAGTAGAAAAAATAATGATGTCCCTAAATACCTAATACACTCGCAAATAGCATCTTCTCAAGTTTTGCCTCAGTGGCATTATGTACTTGATTTCAAAAAAGAAAAAGAAGATCAAAAGTAATTATGTTAGACAAAGCTTCTTCCCAAAACAATCTCTCCCTAAAAGTTTGCTTGTAGGTGAAATATTAGTGTCACAAGCCAAACAGAGGATGGCCTCTCATGTCTGATATTTATTATGCTCTATATGATCTTTAAAAATCACATCTCCTGAAGGTAGCCTATCTATAAGTCACTGAGACTATCAGCAGTCTCTATGGTAGTCTCTTCAAAAGGAGGGAATGCCCAAAGGCAAATTCTAAAGAAAAATCATTCAGTATCTAGGACAGACCAGGCATATTGCATTTTATAATTACTTTGGAGAAGAAAGTAAGGTGTCTTCCTTAAGTAGACACTACTACTAAAAATCCAAGATAATCAAAACACAACACAAGAAAGAAACCCCAAACCAAGTTTTCCTCTTAGAATTAAAAGATAAAATAGCCCTGATCAGGTTGGCTCAGTAGAGAGAGTGTCAGCCTGCGGACTAAAGGGTCCTGAGTTCAATTCCAATCAAGGGCATGTACCTTGGTTGCAGGCACATCCCCAGTAGGAGGTGTGCAGGAGGCAGCTGATCGATGTTTCTCTCTATCCCTCTCCCTTCCTCTCTATAAAAAATATCAATTAAAAAAAGAATTAAAAGATAAAATATCATTATTCCTCAGTTATCCTTGGCAAATGACAAATTAAAAAACATTCAGAGGGCACATCTGCATCCATTCTCCTGGCAGGAGGGAGAAGGGATTCACACACAGAAAGCACAGATTAGAACATGTACTGATGGTCATTTGGTTCAGGTGAGTCAAGGGCCCTGCATTGTCCAGAGGGATGAGAGTTTCTCCAGAGTGTACCCATGGCATACAGAGTGTGCTCCATTCATATTTAATAGTCTGTCTGCAATCAGCTTAATTGCCAGGCCACACAACCAAGAGGAAACCTAACCTATATGGTAATCTCGAGGTGTCTGAACACAAAGAGCATTACAGAAATCACCATGCACTTGAACTGTACACAGACGTTCTAAGCAGTTTGTCAGCTTCTCTCTCGTGGTTTATGGACCAGGCAGGTCATCCACAAAAAAGGAACAGAAGAAACACCTATCACATAGCCTATCGCTTTGCAAAAGAGGCACTCCGGAAAAGGACAGTCGGCATCCTCTCCCGAGGCAGCTCTGGGCTTGGCAAGAGGCGAATAAATACAACAGACTATTCTGAGCTCCTTGTTACTCAATAAACTATAAACAGGGTTTCTTTCTTTTGTGTGTTTCAATTATCTGTAGCTGTCGTTGCTTCCTAGAGCAGCAGTATGGAGCTGGCACAGACCTGGTTTCATACTTTCAAGGACAGAAGGACCTTGGCTCCTAAACTAACCAACTCTGGGATCCTGTAGCCGACAGGAGTAACTCATCATTTCTCACCAGAACTGTTGCCTTTGTGCATGATCTGCTGGGTTTTTTATTTGACTTGGCCAAGAATCTTGCCAAGGCTTTAATCTACGCCACCTGTTCTACATGAATTCTTGAGAATGAATTCCCAAGCACTGTTTTTTGGACTCGTATGATTAAAAAAAAAATACACAAAACAAAAACAGAAGAATTTAATGTTTAAAGATGTGTTGCTTTAAAAGGAGCTTGATAACAAGGGTGGGGTGAAGAGGGAGCCAGCTGGACTTTGAAACCTGTGGTTCTTTGCTGCTGGAGTCAGGGGAGGGAGGAAGGAGCAAGAAGTGTTCTCCCTTTGTCCTTCACCAGGATCTTCATATTGGTCTCTCTACCTCAGCCCCCACGATCTTGTCATAATGTGCCTTACATTATCATTGTGAGTTACAGGCAAAGCAAGCTCCCAAATAAATGGATAGAAATGTTTTTTAAAAATCCAAGATAGTTTTCTGCTTTCTTAAACGGCATTCCTTCCAAAATAGGAATCTGATCATTTTTTTCCAACCCAGTAGAGGCCTTGCTCCCAGCAACCAAATGCGCTCTTTTAACTGTTTATATAAGTAGTAAATCAAAGTATTTGTTACTCTTCAGGTAAAAAATATTTAGCGAGTCTACTGTAGGTTAGGCATGTGTAAGGTCCTAGAGATACAGCAAGAAACAAGGCAAACAAAATTCACCCTAGAAGAAGGAGACACAATAAGACTGTATGATTACATGAGGTGACCAAGAAGAGCTTACTAAGAAGAAGACCTCTGAATAAGACGAAGAAGGTGAGAGAGTGAACCATGTGGGGAAGAGCATTTCAAGCTGAGGGAACAGCAAGTATAAAAGTACTGATATGGGAGTAAGCTGACATAGTTAAGTAATAGCAAAGAGGCCAGTGTGACCATATGGAAAGGGAAAAAAAAAAAAAAAAAATGAAGTCTGAGACAGGAGGGGCCAGATCCTGCAGAACCTTGTAAAACATTGCAGTCACTCGACTTTCACGGTGAGTGGAATGGGGAACTCATTATGGACGATTTTAAGTGCTTTAACAGGATCACTGCTGCCAAGAACAGAAGCAAAAAAAACAGCAGAGAGGCTAATAAACCAAGCAAGAGATGAAAGTCGCTTGGTCTGGGATGGCATGAGTAGAAGAGGTGGGGAAGGATTGGACTCCGAACATATTTTGGAATTAGAGCTAATGAGGTTCTTTGATGGCCTGCATGTAAGAGAAATCATTAATGAATCAAAGGTTTCTGACCTGAACCACAAAAAAACGTGGAGCTGCCAATGACTAAAACAGAAAAGACAGCTACGGGAGCAGATGGAGGAGAATGATCAGGAGAATCAATATGAAATTACAGATTTGTTAAAATAGAAACCAAACATTAAGTCCTTGCATGTATCACTGCTAACACAGATATGATTACTCAGAAAGTTGTGGAGTCTCACTGTGAACTTGGGGCTAAGCTGACTCTAGGAAAAATGGATCTGCTTCAAATTCCAAGACACAGTCTGATACACAGCCATGGGCATGTTATCCATGAAACTAGATTATTACCTAACACAGAAAATAACTATTTTTTATAGAAAGAAAAAAAAGAGTCTGATAGTCTTGTACTTCTTCAATCAACTTAAAAGAGACAGCTGATACTGCCCAAATTTACTTAGGTGACCCAAAGTGATGTTCAATAGATATCTTGAATAGTTATGCATCCTCAGAAGATAAGAGCTCAAGTAAACTTCAAACTACTAACATGGTTCTCTTGGGTTCCATAGAGAAAAATATAATCTGCATCATTTGAACACCAATCCAGAATTTGGATTGGGGCCTTGTATATCTTACTTTCCTCTACTCTAGGTTCAAAATCTGTTGAAAGTGATCTTAAAAAAAAAAAAAAACTGTATCCTATTCATTATCATAAGCATATTGTACCCAGTAGTATTGGGATAGGAAATATTTAAATGTTTCCAATCATTCCCTTCTTAATAGAGAGAATATAAAAATCATAAGTGGAAATAATAAATTACTAGTAAAATTATATATATATATTTGAATCACCCATAGGTGATTCAAATAAAGGTCTTCTCCCAAACTAAATATCCCTTCTTTTAACTGAAGAATATAGACTTTCACAGGACTGAGAAACAAATTAAAGCAAAAGTATTTCCTAGTCTGAGGTGTGCCTTATGAACCATTTTAATTTTTATCTGTAATCTTAATATTTAAAAACTATAGCAATTAGTCAAAATTTCACTTTGGAACTGTGTATGTGCACATGGGTAAATTATGTACTCTAAAGTTCAAAATAATGACTGTGGCTCTGATTTTTTAAAGGCTCTAACAATAATTCTCAAACCCACCCAGATAAATATTTATAGAGGTTTTTTTTTAATCAATAGTTAAGAAATAAGATAACGGACTTTATTAAACTAAGAGTATAGGTAAAGTACTAATCAGAGTGGTGTGTTTAAGGTTTATTATTTCATGTTCACACTATACATAAAATAACCAATGTACATCTGTCACCATTCCCTAATAACTGGTAGCTTAAATGTTTTAAAATGTTTTTAATGAAGTACTTACTCTCCAACTTTATTCAGGCTAGGTGCAGGACAAAGCACAGAATTACCCTCCACACTCATTGGCTTTACACCTGGAAAATAAAATGCCATAGACTTGGTAAAGAGTTTTATGAATCTCAGTTTTATTAATAATATGAAAGGCTAAGACAATCAGAGTTCAAGTATGGAACGTTAGACATACTAGCATAAAAAAACAAACAGACATCTATAGAAAGAAGAGAAGAAAAAAGGAATTAAAAGTAGAGGTTATAAACTACATTGATATATAGTATCAGTAAATTATACAATAAATCATGACATTTTTACTTTGACTAAGTTCACATACATTTGTAGACCCCATGAAATTATCATCTACTCCCCAATTTGTCAAATACCTTAGATTTTTTAAATAAATGATATATATATTTAAAAACAGAATTTAGAAATGATGGGAAAACAAAGATGAATGTCCAAAAAAGAATGAATTTATTTCAAGCATTTAATAAAACAGATGTGTCTATAATATAAAACCTATATTTTATAAAGCTGTATGCTTAAGTTTCCCTGGTAATTTTAACAATATGTGAGAAAATGACCTAGACTATAAATATTCACACATTGCATGATCAAATGGATAATCCTAGAATGGAAATGATGAAAATATAATCTATTTCTACTTATTTGTTTGAATACTTACTTTAAAATACTTAATCTTATGTAGCTAAGTATCCTATCTAATAAAAGAGTAATATGCAAATTGACCATCACTCCAATACACAAGATGGCTGCCCCCATGTGGACACAAGATGGCTGCCACAAGATAGCTATCAGGGGAGGGCAGTTGTGGGCAAACAGGCCAGCAAGGGAGGGCAGTTGGGAGGGACCAGGCCTGCAAGGAAGGGCAGTTGGGAGGGACTAGGCCTGCAAGGGAGGGCAGTTGGGAGGGACCAGGCCTGCAAGGGAGGGCAGTTGGGAGGGGAAGGTGCAGGCCTGGAGGAAAAGACAGTTGTGGGGGACCAGACCAGAAAGGGAGGGCAGTTAGGGCAACCAGGCTGGCAAGGGAGGGAAGTTAGGGATAACCAGGCCAGCAGGGGAGGGCAGATGTGGGAGACCAGGCCTGCAAAGGAGGACAGTTGGGGGTGACCAGGCTGTCAAGGGGAGGAGTTAAGGGTGACCAGGCCAGCAGGGGAGGGCAGTTGGGGGCAATCGGGCTAACAGGGGAGCAGTTATGTGTCAATCAGTCTGGCAGGGGAGTGGTTAGGGGGTGATCAGACTAGCAGGCAGAAGCAGTTAGAGGCAATCAGGCAGGCAGGCAGGTGTGTAGTTGGGAGCCAGCAGCCCTGGATTGTGAGAGTTATGGCCAACTGCCTGTCCTCCTCATTTGTCCTCATCAATTTTGAGAAAATTTGTTAAAAACTGTTATTGTTAAAATATGTTATTGTCTTGCCTTACCAAAATGATGATCGTAATAGAAAAGAAAGTAATTCATTATGACATTTATCATGCTGAGATCATCACCACTTTAATTCAACAAACACATATTGAACAGTTAGTTACTGTGTGTGCAGCCAAAGCTATGCTAATTGAAGTGTTTAGTACCATCAGATAAACTGCAAAATTGTAGATGAACCTCTCAAGAAATAATTCTATCAGAGTTCAGAGTTGTAGCATATGCCTTCCAGTATAAATTTTAGAAGACATATAATCATCAATGAGGAAAAAATGTCTTAACAGAAACCCAAAATGCTCAGAATACTAAGATCATGTAAGTAGAATATTTCTCAGAATGAAGATAAAAACATTATACTCATTTGCTCTTTTAAAAGCCAGGGTAGGATAAATAAAACCTAACTCCATAAATACAATAATTATCAATCAACCCTATGCTGGGTGGGCACTAGAGTTGTAAAATACCTATAGGACAAAAAGCCTATCTCAAAAACCTAACTGACAAATTATTGGGAAATTGGAAAAAGAAAACAAGTGATAGCTCTAACCGGTTTGGTTCAGTGGATAGAGCATTGGCCTGCGGACTGGAGGGTCCCAGGTTCGATTCTTGTCAAGGGCATGTATCTTGGTTGCAGGCACATCCCCAGTAGGAGGTGTGCAGGAGGCAGCTGATTGATGTTTCTCTCTTATCAATGTTTCTGACTCTCTATTCCTCTCTTCCTCTCTGTAAAAAATCAATAAAATATATCACAAAAAAAAAAGAAAGAAAACAAGTGACAATAAGTAGTAGAGTAGTCCAAGTGAGTTAGATTTTCAAGCAAGAGTGATAAGAAATAAATCTAGAAAAAGAGGCAGCCAAAACAGGCATTTGATGTAGTCACTACAGAGCACAGACAGGAAAACTGGGTTGAACTCTCAGCTCTGGGCATTATCGACTGTGTCACCACAGGCAAGTTATTTGACTCTTTCAGCCACAAGTCCATCATCTGTATAATGAGGCTACTCAGAATGGCATCCAACATTGATGAAGCTGTGAACAAACATTGCCTTCATTAAATAACAATTAATTACTACTATTTCTATTATTATGGGACTTCATTTCCCTTTCCTTTGTTAAAAAACATAGGACTGTTGGTTTCAGTTGGGGAAAAGAGGAAAACATCTGACGCTGACTTGCTCAGCTGATATGAAAACAACACAGGTGATGGGAACCTACTCTTGGTGTAGGTGTCATTCACTGTGTAAGTACAGAGAACACTGCCATTGCGGCTGCCCAAGTTGAATCCTCTTCCATTCAAAACGATTTGAAATTCCTCTAGAAGTAAAAAAGAAAAATAAACATTTTAATCACTGCTTTACCAACAAAAAAAAAGACATAATTTGAAAATAGGTAGAAAGAATGAATTTCTTCACACTATTCAGCCAACTAATAACAAAGAAGACATGGCTCTATTTCCAACTCTCCTTGCCTTCTTAGATCCTTTAGGGGAAAAGTGGAGATATTATATACCCTACAAACTTCCCCAAATTCTCTGCTTAGGAAAATATGAGAAGAAATAAAACCTCTTTGTTTTTCTCTATTTTCAGGTATAGGAATATAAAGAACATTAACGATCCCTGTGCTTTGGTTCTTAGAACTTTCATGTGTTGTGTTTTAATTTATGTATGACACACCATACAGAGTTCTTGAACAGCTTCATCACATTACTAATCCCACATTCATTTTTTTGTTTAATACAAATTTATAACTCACTGGAGGCAAAGTATTTTGGACTACAGATAATCCATGGCCAGTCACTAAATTAAGTTGACTTAATTTATTGTACTCTATGTATATAACAGGAGCAGTCACTTAATGCTAGAGAGTAAAATAACATGCTAGAAAAAAAGTTAACATCTAAAATCTTGATTGGCAAATAAGTGTGTGCTGCTTAGCTGCAAGATAATATATTATAACTGTTTTAATAGTGTTTTGGCTCTCAATCCCCTCAGACACCTCCTATCTAACACATAATCTAACACATACATAGTAAGTAACTATGGAAGAAAATACTGCCATCTCACAGGCCATTAAATATTGCTGAAACCGGTTTGGCTAAATGGATAGAGGGTCGGCTTGGGGACTGAAAGATCCCGGGTTTGATTCCGGTCAAGGGCATGTACCTTGGTTGTGGGCATATCTCCAGTAGGGGGTGTGCAAGAGGCAGCTGATCTATGACTCTCTCTCATCGATGTTTCTAACTCTCTATCTCTCTCCCTTCCTCTCTGTACAAAATCAATAAAATATATATATATTTTTTAAAAATGTTATAAAAAGAATTTTACTCATAAGTTAAAATAAAATGCAGGTAATAATTAAAATATGACTCAGTAAAAAGAGGACCTAGGTTTTAGAGTCAGTCAGACAAAGGGGTCTAATAAGACAATTACTAATAGCAAATATGAAACCTGTCTCTGCCCGTTTCCCCATCTGTGAATCGGGAATTATAAAACTGCTGGGATGGTCCAATGCACTATTCCTCCTAAGCATCTCAGTAATCATTAGTTAAGGAGGCTAGAAGGTGCAGAAGTCAACACCATGTCCTGCTGTTGGGAAGCCGATGGTCAACGTCACAGCATATGTCCTCCCCCACCAAATTATTTTTCCTTTTCTAAGTAAAGTCAGGTTAAAATGAACTCCATGTCAAATGTGAATGAGAAATAGAATAGGTCAAAAAGACTCATGCTCTGGGTAAGGATGGCTTTGATGTGTTAAAACCTGAGCCTGTGCCTAGCACCAGCTAAAGAAACCACCTGCTTCCTTCCTGCCATCAAGCCCTAAGTCACTTCCTTATGTGCCCTGAGCCTTTGGCCTGGTTATCAAAGCATGGAGCTAAAAATCTACAGATCCATCATGGCCTGTATAATCAGATGAAAGACAAAATTTCATATTTTATTTTACTTGTCAGAGGAAAGGTCTCAAACATGAACTAAATATACAGAAGACTCTAAAAGCCTGTCACACAATATGTTCATTATTTAAAATAACACTCCAGTCTTAAAAATTTGAATTTAAAATAGAAATATTTCAAGGAATTATTTAAAAATTCTTACAGACAAAGATGCCAAAAAAGTTAATTTTGCTATTCTCTTTCCAACGTGAGTTTCAAATCATATATTTTAACTACGAAAAAAAATACATTTTCTTACATGGTATTTTTAAATTCTAACTACTTACCCCCCACACATACACTTGAGGGATGCAATTCCAGGATTTCAGTGCATGACCGAGCTAGTATCTAAAAAGGAAACAGAGAAGACCAAGATATAGAACTAAATTATAACATGTGAAGTGAATTATAAGACTACTAATAAGCTTGAGTCCTCCCCTTAATTTCACCAGATGGCAGAGAAAAATTGATTAACTATCACATACAGAGTTACCAAGCTCTTAGGAAATTTGTATTGTTTTTCAGTGTATATTCTAAGACTATTTTATAAAGCTTCAATGCCTACAAATGCTGATACTGCTTACATGTATCAGACATGACACTTGCAGAACACTGGCTCCTTGTATGAGCCAAATATTTATTCTCACAAACAGACTCTGTGCACCGGCATTCCCAGACCAAAGACACAGAATGGCTCTTCTTAGCTTGTTCTGGAAAATAGAAACTGCCATACAAGGCACAAGGCCACAAGTGAAAAACAACAATGATGAAATAGGCTGCTCTTAATGGACACGACAATCCTGTCTTTATTTTTAGAACAGCTCTGCACTACATTATCAAAGTCAGACAAACTCCAGATGATCTTTGCACAACATTCCTTTCTTGACGGGAGTTGAAAACAGATAATGCATGTACAATGGTTTCTAGCATCTCCTGCTCATAACTAGGACAGGAAGTAAGGACTGTAGCAGGAAATAACATTTTCAGTGCTTTCTTTAACAGCAGTGAAAATATAAACTATCAGACTCTAAAAATCAGATGATTCAACTGAGGGAATTTTTGTTGCTGACTATGCATCTCTGAACGGGGGCAACTGTTTTTTAGACAGTTTCCCAGTGAATCCATTTTCACCTAGTGATTAGAAAACATACCTGTAAAATTTAATGTCTGAGAAATTCTAGATGAGATCTATTTAAATGCAGAAATGACCAAAGAGATTCCATAGCACCCCAGAAACTTTCCATACCCAAATTTCTCCTCTGGGTCTGCTATTTTATCTTATCCACTGAGGAGGGAGTACCATTGTTCCATTAAGAATTGAGTTAAGCCCAGCCAGCATGGTTCAATGGTTGAGCATTGACCTATGAACCAGGAGGTCATGGTTCAATTCCTGGTCAGGGCACATGCCCAGATTGCAGGGTTGATCCTCAGTGTGGGGGGGAAGAAGGCAGCCAATCAATGATTCTCTCCCAACTTTGATGTTTCTTTCTCTCTCCCTCTCCCTTCCTCTCTGAAGTCAATAAAAACATATTTTCTTTAAAAAGAATTAAGAATTGAAGACTTCTGTCAAAGGCTAAAGTGTACTCTAGTATGGGAAGTATCTTAAATCACTAATATCTTTACATATTTTGACATAATCCAGATAACAAGACTATAAAGGGAAAAAAATAAAAAAATTTTGCTAAACATGTTCCAACTTAAACACACACACACACACACACACACACACACACACACACATCATAGCTTTAGCTTTGGTGGATCTGAATGAAAGTGAGAACAGTGAGCCACCAAAATGAAAGGTCAAAGAAAAACACAAAGCCCTCAAATCTGTTTTCTCTGCCAGCAGTTCTGTAAGAACTTATTTTAAAACAGATCTTATTACGGACTTCACCAAGTGTACAATCTCTTTATTGGTTTTTAGCCACACCTCTGTTAGAATCACTGAAAAACTATTCAACATTAAAGAGAAGTATGAGAGTAGTTTAAAGATTTAGTCTATTGAAAATAGAAATTTGTTTAAAAAATATTTCTTAGAACAAGGTAAATCAAAAAGTTATGAAGAGATTTTACAAAGGCCATGTCAAAGAATATGTATCCCCCAGTGACCTGTGTGAATTTTTGAAATTATGTTTGTTTTCTCTCTCCTACCAAATTGACCATAATTAAATCAGATCTTGTAATATTTAAGACAAATGTGCATGTTGACTTGCGCCTTTATTTGATGTAATTTATCAAAGCATTTTTAAAATGATAGTTTCAATAGCAAGATTAAATGAACAATTCTTATAGAGCTCTCTGAAGATTAAATACCTTCAAGTACCACTGGTGGTCTATATCTCTGAAACTAGACTCTATTAATGCCCTTAAAGTATTTGATTTTAAACAATAAATTCAGAATCATTTAGCAATTTATGTTACACTCAGATCTGAATTTTTTTTAAATCATTATTATATATTAAGCAGGGATGAGTAGTTAAAGGTTGGTTATATCTTGCAGTAACTTGTAAAATATATATTTACACAAAAAAATACATAATGCATTTGAATTTCCCACAGATCAACCTGACTTTCTCTAAAGTTATTTTTCATTTTTTTTAATTTCTTGGGACTTTATATCATATTATTTGAGTGGATGAATCACTTGCTTGTTTAGAAGACAAACTCTGAGTAAAGAAACAGAATCACATTACACTGCTCAACCCTTTCTGGACTGGCACATTGTTTTTTACATTCAGTACAACCAATAAAAACTTACAGAACACAGACTAAATGTATGAAGTATGAGACTATATATTAAGATCTATGAAGTAAGCAAAGCGACAATCATATTAGGACTAAAATAAAGCAAAATAAAGTTAATTTATATGATAAAGCACCTCCTCTTCCAATCAATTGTGAATGTTGGGAAGCCAGGAACCCATAATTTGTAGCTAAGTTCACCAAAACCATTTCCAAATGAAAAATAAATAAAGACAATGAGAGAATATGGTAGGGAAAAAAAGAGAAAGATAAAATATATAAACGCTCAGAAAATACTTATCCTAACTTTGGTTTTTCTATCGGGAGTTTACCATATTCCTATTTTTAAGAAAACAACCAGAAGTTTAACTAATTTAATGTTTGTGTGCAAAAGTTTACATGATTACATTTTTTAAATAATCCGTTAGATAAATACAAAATAGTTCATAACCTATTCTCACCAAGTAATTGCACAAGATAAAATGTTCAAGATTTCAAAATGAGTCTACTATTAAAATAGTCATCACTAAATGATAATGGACAGAGAGTGACAAATACTTTAAACACTCTGGTTAATCTTTATCAAATTAAATACTGTTATTGATTGATTGAACGTTGGATCAGGTGTCTCAATTGTCATAACTGATGCATTATTTTTCATACTCTCTACTTCCATGATTTGTACAACAGAGGATCTTGTAAGGACATTACTTCAAATATGTGTTTCTATCTGTCTTCATTATATCTCAATAGCAACAGAAAATAGTTTCAAATAAAGGTTAACATTATTTGACATCAGAGAGAGCCAATAGCACCACTGACCAAATTTAAAAACAAGCCAAATACCATTAATAAAATTAGGGCACTTGAAGTCTTACACAGAATACATGCAAAATTGCATATCTGAGATTTTGGAATATAAGATATATATATAAATTGACAAGGAACTTAATGCTCACCATGAAAAGTATATTACTGGAGCACCTATTTACTCAAAAGCATCAGTTCACTTAAAAAGTGATATTAGTATTAAGGAATATTAATATTTACAAATGCATGTAATATTTATATCATTACCTAATCCTTACTTTTAAATCCTCAAATATTAATATGGATGACAACAACTTTCTAAATTAAATACAAATACAACTAGTCAAAAAAAACTGAAAAGAAATAAATATAACTAGTCAAAAATTCAAATTACTAACAATGACAATCATAATTATCACTTTTTTTTGGTTGTGCAATCATTATGTTCCAGAAACTGTGCTAGGTACTTAATCTGAATTTCTTCAGTTAATCTTCCCAAGTTTTATGAATACATACTCTTTTTCTAACCATTTTACAGATGAGAAAACTAGGATTTACAGAGATTTTGTTAAAGTTTCCCTGGAATAACTCATTTTGAAAGAGTAGAGCCAGATGCATGTCTGATTGAGTCCAAAGCCTGTTATTCTCACCAGTGCACCATTTTGACTGTCTAACCATTATAAATCCTAATATCTAACAAACTAGTGAAATTTAGTTGCCTATTTTCCTAGACTCCTTTTATATTACCAAAACCAATCTAAAATCTGCTTTCTTTCCTGTCTTCAAATAATTGTTACTAAACTTTGACTTTCATTTATTGAGGATTTTATAAGTTTGTTTTAAAATTCTTAATACCACTGAGTTTAAATAAATTAAAATTTCAGATCATTCTCTGAATTATTAATATAGAGTACTAGAGGCCCAGTACACAAAATTCATGCACTGGGGAGAGGGGGAGAGTGTTCCTCAGCCCAGTCTGCACCCTCTCCAATCTGGGACCCCGTCAGGGTATGTCTGACTGCTGGTTTAGGGATCGAGCCTAAACCAGCAGTCAGACATACCTCTCACAATCCAGGATTGCTGTTTCCCAACCGCTTGCCTGCTTACCAGCATGAACAACCCCTAACCACTCCCCTGCCATCCTAATTGATGCCTAACTGCTCTCCTGATGGCCCAATCACCACCAATTACCCTCCTCTGCAGACCCAGTCATCCCCAAATGCCCCCCACCCTGCTGGGCTAGTCACCCCCAACTGCCTTCCCCTACCAGGCTGGTCACCCCTAACTGCCCTCCCTTGAAGGCCTGGTTGCCCCAACTGCCCTCCCCTGCAGGCTTAGTTGCCCCTAACTGCTCTCCCCAGCAGGCCTGATCACCCCTAACTTCCCTCCCCTATAGGCTTGATCACCCACAACTGTCCTCCCTTACAGGCCTGGTCCCTCTCAACTTTTCTCCCCTGCTGGCCATCTTGTTACAGCCATCTTGTGTCCACATGGGGGCAGCCATTTTTGACCAAATGGGGGCAGCCATCTTGTATGTTGGAGTGATGGTCAATTTGCATATTACTCTTTTATTAGATAGGATTAGAGGCCTGGTGCGTGGGTGGGGGCGGGATGGTTTGCCCTAAAGGGTGCTCCAGGTCAGGCTGGGGGTTCCCTTAAGGCAAGGAGTGGGTGAGGGGCCTGTGGTGGTTTGCAGGCCAGCCACACCCCCCTGTGACCCAAGTGGAGGCCCTGGTATCTGGGATTTATTTATCTTCTCTAATTGAAACTTTGTAGCCTTTTGCAGAGGCCAGGTC